GATATATTAAACATAAAACATTGGAATACTGATACTTGAAATAATTAAAAAAATGAAAAGATACTTTAAATGTGAAATTAAAAGCGCCAGTAGGTGGCAGCAAGTCACTGTTAATAAGCGAGTCATTGCGACTGAACCGAATCATTTAAACGGTTGATTCATTCGGGAATGAAACACAGTCATGTTGCTCAGAGACGCAAAACAGCGCTGTGGCTTTGTTTGGAATTATTTTTGTTGGCGAAAGTGTGCAAAAACAGGCAATATGGTGTCTAAAAAATCTATATCACATTTGTATATGGTAATTTTTGGAGAAAAAAGGCACTCTTCCGTGTGAACTTGAGTATAAATATACACATTTTCTGCCCCCATGTCTTGAATTTGTGATCATTCTGAATGTATTTTAATAGACTGAATCATGCAGTGATCAGGCAGAGCGCACAGCAAATGAGCACGTGCACTAGACTTCACGTAATGCGTGCACTCTGTAGGTGTTTTGAATGTTTTTTTTGCGTCGTGAGAATATGGAGTAAAATAGCTCACTTGTCATGGTGTTACTTAACTATATCATGTTATGAATAAACGAAACATTTTGAAATTTTACCTCAGTGTGTTTCTTCTGAGTTTGTGTGCCGTCACGCTCATTTGTTCTGAAGTCTCGAGACAAACAGAGTGAGGCGGTAATGAGACCGAATTTAAGACATTAAGACTTTAAGGCCTTATATTAGGAAAACGTTATTTAAGACATTAAGACTTTTTAAGGACCCGCGGACACCCTGTTATACAGTAAATGTTAATACAATTTAGGGTGTTTTAAACAAGTGAATCTTGTTAAAAGTTACATGCAGTGGCCGTGCTGGAGCATTTCCTGAGCATCAACCCGATGAGTGAACAGCAATATGAAAGCGGCTTCATGAGACGAATGATGAGCAAATATACAACAGAGAGAATTAAATAAAATTTCTTGAATTGTGTGAGACTGTTGAAAGTGCAACAGCGCCGCCTTGTGACACTGCAACGTGCAGCGCTCTTTTTTTTTTTATGAAATCATTTTGAAGTTTAATAATCGATAGGCTGGATCGCGATTTATGTTTTTCCATCCCCAAAATATAAGACGACTTAAAATGATCATTAAGACGTTTGTTTTACCATTTCATGTATTGAAGACTTTTTAAGGCATTTAATGTAAGAAAACTCACCCGGAGGGATTTTGCTTTATTCGTACACGTGCTCCTTGAATACATTTTACAGTTGCGCACATTTATTTTTATTTGTGACTCAAGCGCCCACACTGTTGAGCCCCGTCTTTGTCTGTGAAACATCCGCCGCATCTCTGCAGCACACGTGGGAGCGTCAGCAGGAGTAAACGGTTCTCACACACACAGAACGAGCAGATACGAAACGTGTAGGGCAAGGGAAGATTTTCCACTAGTTAATCGATCGCGGATGGTTTCATTATTTTGGGCGGATAAAAAAGTATGAAAATAAAAATAATAAAAGCAAAAATGTTTCTCCATATATACTTGGGCGGCCGTTAATATACCCGAGCGGCCCGCCCAAGTAACGTCTAAGTGTGGGAAGCGCTGTTATTGCAATTTATTGGATGGGAGGCGCGCTACAATGTTCTGTTCATTATCTGAAAACAGGCTTGACTAATCGATGCTTGAGATTTATAAATCAATATCGCTTCATAAAAATAAGAATCGAATAAATCCTGATCGGAGCATCCTTAGTTTTGTGCCTGCTGTTCGCAGCCCCATCAGAACAAAACCATTTTCAGGCTATGACTCACCAACTGAAAACCCCAGCAAGTACATTTTCAGAACTCTATTTAATAATATAAAGCCCTGCTTAAAAGGGATGTTATATTCAGAAGTCTGTGATCTCTGACCTGATAATCTCATCCTCTGTCAAAACATCCTCCATGGGCTGTTGTGGGGAAGCAAGCAGTGAGTCCAGGAACCTGACAGCCCCACAACAAAACAGCACCACGGGCTCAGAGTCAGTAGCTGACAGCACTTTGAGAACATCAGCTGAAACCTGAAAAAAAAAAGTCAGAAAAAATATATTAGATACT